TATAAAATTGCATTTAATTGAAATATTCTATCAGCTTTAATCTGGAATTTTAGCAATAATAATCGAGCAAAACATTTGACTCTCAGGACAGGGATGAGTGCTTAGATGGGCATTTATACAGGCGGATGCTGATTTAATGATAGCTGTAGGGCACAGTATGTTCGTTATGGCAAAATAAAATTAAAAAAAAAACGATTCAGGTTTATAAAAATTATATTTTGTACCGAGCTAAACAAACATAAAGCATAATATTAATTTGGCTCAAATTTAATGCACTATTACTTTATATTCGATGAAATAATAATATTATTCAGTTACTATTACAGTTTTGTTTAAAAGCTAACCATTTCTTTCAAAACTTTTGTAATGTGATAAAAAACCAAATATTTAGATATTTAGTTCTAAGAATGGTTTATAAGAAACTAAAAAAAAAAAAAAAAAAACCGATAAAGTTAATTCACGGAATTTATAGGCTTTAGAAGTTTAAAGCGTCTTAATAAAATAATTTTATTTGCATTTCAGATTCTAAGCGGAACAGGAATATGTACCTATCGGTTATATAATATTTATTTCTGTATATTTTTTTTTTTACCAGAAATTTCGCTCATATTTTTAAGCATAGCACCTATTTTAAATACCGAATGGCATAAAGTGGGGTAAACCGGGCTTCGTTGCCGTTAGTCGGCATGCGCGAAACGGTTTACTTCTCTCGTAGTGCGGAGTGTAGCACAAGGTAGTAGTTGTACAAATATAATACTAATAGTAGTCCAAGTCGTAGTTACTAATTTCAAAACATAAAACTATTTGGTTTACATTCTTTCAGATCGTGAGTGTAGCAAAGAGTTGTTGACTTAATTTTACAATAATGCGTTTTTTTCTCAGATTTTTCGTGAGGAAAATTCAGTAGCTATTTTTTTCGACTCTCCGTAGGGCGATGATGGAAATTTAAAATTTCAACACCAACATTTTTTTTTGACTTAAATGCCATCTGTCTATGGAATTTTAATTCTCTGCATAAAAACAAAAGTGGTTTCACCTTCAAAATTAAGAATAACAAAAAATAACTGTAATGTAATGTGTTTAGAGCAATTTTGTTATAAGTCGTTAAAAAAAAAAAAATTCCGAAGGAGTAAATACTTTCCAAGATAATAAATACCTTATTAAGGATTTATTACATTGTAAATATAAAAAAAAGTTTGCTTTACAATTTATGGAATTGCGGATCATCTATACTCTATTGTAAAAATGAAGGTCTCAGGTACAAATTTTAATTTTTCGTAGTTTTTTTCACGTAATACCTATCTTGAAATATGTGGACATTTTGCCGGTGGTATTTAATTTGAATTTCTAGATTTCTATAAAATGTAAAAAACTGATAAGAAATATCAATACATCGGTTTATTTTTTTAATTTTTGAATGGGTTACCTTAAGACTAAAAAGTAAAAGCCGAGTGCAATAATTTACCTTTTATTTCAGTATATAAAGTAAACTGACCTACCCAATTACCTTGTCAAAAAAATACCTTCTCAATTTCCCACCTACAACAGTTACTGGCTATGCTGTGAACTTTGGTCATTTCTTTTCTAAGTTTTTAACGGTTCGTTTTATCTTTTATTACCGACTTTTACGATGAACTAATTAAGTCAAAGGGGAGGGTGCTGTTTGCTAAGAATAGGGGCAAATGTATTATAATATTGTTGTTAAAATACGTTACACATACAAAAGATGACATTAATTAAACATTAAGTTATCACGACCCACTTACAATATCGTTGACTAATTTGTCTGCAGTCACGAGCAAAAGTTGTTTCTCTTAATTTTTGTTTACATAAAGAAAATAATACATCATAAAAAAAAAATTAATTTATACGTCACGAAAATAATTATCGTCACGGCTTTTTGCAGACGTCGTTTTAGTAGGTATGCATGCATGCATTAATATTATAGTCTATAGAAATGTTTCCCTCGAAATGTAAAGTACATATAATTATTATAAAATGATGTTGCACGTATCATTAAAATTGTATGTACATATGTAAATTATACAAATATGTATAATAATAAAAGCATATTCTCTTCAGACACGGATTTCTGCTTTGATTTTCTATAGACTCTACGGAGAACAATACAATCAAATATTTCAATGATTTTATAAAATCGCGTATAGTATATTAGAACAATCCAAAATAGAAGAATGTAATATACCTAGGTTTAATAAGGGGAATTTAATAGATTTATGAATTCCAATCTCTACACGTGAACTTAATTAAACTCATAAATTAGATAAAAAAAAAATGCAAACATACCTATATCATCAAGTAAAAATATTTAGCCTAGTCCACACGATTATAGTTATACTATTGTGGTAATTGCGCAACCGAGGTAGTTACTATCGTAGTATTACGAATTATCGTTTTATGAACGAGTATTGATCGTAACTACAGAACTATCATGAATGCAGTAATCGCACTGTCTTGGACGCCTTTTAGTTGATAGTCATTATCGTTAAGTAGACAGTAATTCATCGTGTCAGTACATTCATAAACTTTTTATTGAAATTCAATCTATAATCATGTCTTCATCTATCCTATCCTTTGGCTATACCATCCTATAAATGCTGTCTCTGTGATACTTGTGATACTTACTATCGCTATAAATGCAACACCAACTATCACGATATCATCATATGGATCAGGCTTTATTAAATTACGTTTTATTACATAGTATAGTAAACTAACTAAAAATAGCGTTGTCTGTAATCGATGGATAGTAATTGAAAATTATCGGGTTTTTTTTTTATACCATTTGCTAGTTTACTTGGGGTATTGTTTAATATTTTTGCTCTACAATTTGTTGAATTATTTTTCATGTCAATAATAATTCTTGTATTGGCCTTAAGCCTAGTGAAGATTACTTATACGGTAGGTATTAAATTTCTGAAATTCTAATATAACACACACTGTATTTATTTAGAAAAAATTCGCAAACATATTTGAACTAAAGTGTTGCCATAGGCACAAAACATAAAAAAAAAAAAAACATTAACGTTAAAAGTTTCTTTACAATCGGAATAATTGTAATACAAATATAATATGGTATAATTTAATAATAAGTTATTATTGATACGTTTAATTAATAAACATATTTGAACTAAAGTGTTGCCATAGGCACAAAACATAAAAAAAAAAAAAAAAAATGTAGGCACGAGTAAATAATAATGAATTTCCGCGAATTTACAAAACAGATAAACAAAATTAAATCAATTCTAATATTATAATTATGTGTACTTCATTAGAAACTTGATCATGATTCACTTTAATCTAATAAAAAAAAATGTCTATATTATCGTATTATTATTAATAATAGAATATTTTGAATGTGATGATCACCTGATCAGTTTCTGAGGAATGCATATTGATCTGCCAATATTATATACCTAACTGTAATTAGTGGTGATTCTATCATCAATCGAAATTAATTAGGGAGGTACCTAAAGTAATTTTAAATATTTAAAGAAATAATAAAATTTACCTAATCGACATTAGGTAAAAAGGCCACAAGACAAAAATGTCTGGAGTAAAAAACATTCAAAGAAAAAATATCGAAATTCAAAAATGTCCTCTTTTAGAAACTGTCTTCTTTTAGGAGAACAATGATATGAAATATAGCATTTACTAAACAGGATCATAGACAATACTGAGCGCTGATAGAAGAAACGAGACGCACTCGAAACTTGATGTTGGCGAAAATGTTGAAAATCTCCTGGATAGAACGAATGTCAATTGAAAAAATGTTCACCTACCTAAAATTAAAAATAAAGTCAAAGGGTCGACGAATATCAAAAATATCAACACAAAAATGTATTCAAACTAATATTTTATTTATTTTTAGATTTTGTAATATAAGTTATAAATAAAAACTAGATAAATACATGTTCGTTAGTACTAGAATTTTCAAAATTACACGATAACTGCAATTTCTGATACGAGTTACCAAAACACAATAATAATATATAATATATTAATCATTATAAATATTAAATAATTTTTAGTATCTTATATTAGATCGTAGTACTATTACAATATTATTATTGCTATACACAGTCGTATAGGTCATCGTTTGGTAATAGTATAATTTTCCATTGGTAGTAGTACCTATAACAGCGCTATCCATAATATATAGTAATAAAATCATTAATGATAGCACAATACAAGTTCAATTTGCATACATAATAATAATTAAAAAACAAAAAAAATTTAAAAACCGTATCTCAAAAATGAATGAACATTATAATGTAATTATAATGAAGAGATTAAAAAAGTATAATTCCGAGAAGCATGTATGTGATGTTGAAACAGAATATGTAAACAAGTAGGTAACCATAATATTGAACAATAATATTATTATCTAAGTTTTGATTTTCGCAAAAAAAAAATAAAAACAAACAATGTATACTATATATATATATATATATATGTAAAATAATATACATTATACTAAATTTATACGATTTTATTTTTCGTTTTTGCGGCTCTGTTACCTAATGTACTGGTGATGATATTTAAATAAATATTCATAAATAAATACATCCTGTAATAATAACTAGACTGAGTTTTTATTCATTTTGCAACGAAAAAACTATTAGTTTTACTTAAATGTATTTTTTTCCTCCTCGAAATACATTTTTTCGGATAATGATCCAAATATTTTGAAAGATATTTCATGATTATGAGATACATTTTTTGAGATTTTTGACATTTTTACAAACTTTGTAACTTTGGACAAGCATTTAAACAGTGCCATGCGGTTAATATGTGGAGTAGCACAATCATCGCCGATACCAATGGTTGCCAGTTCTTTCAAATATCGCACTACCAGTAATCAGAAGAAATGAAGCACTAGTGAGACGATTTACTAAGACCGATGCCTTCAAAAACTCAATCTTCCACAAATACTTAAAAAATTTGCCAGATATAAAACTAAAATTAAGGAAATCACGATGGTCAAGGCCAGAAAACTAATCCAGTCGCAGTTCTGCAGCGCTAAAAAATGGCAGGAGGAATGGTTGGACAATACGGTATTACATACAAATTTGATAAAGGATCCCGCACAAAGAGTTAAAGGGTTCGAACTTCCACGACAAGAATGGGTAATCCTTAACCGATTAAGAATTGGACACGGAAGATATGGACATATGATGTTCAAGTGGAAATTAAAGGACATTCCAGAATGTGATTGTGGAAATTACAGCCAGACTATGAGACATATTACAGACGAATGCGCGAATAGAAGGTTCCCGTCGGGCATTAATGGGTTAAATGAAGCTACGAAGGAATCGTGTGAATGGATAAAGGCCTTGGACATAGAAATCTAGATTTGATTAAATACTATATAATGTACTGTTATTATTATCACGTATAATTTTATTTTATTGTATTTAAATGTTACTGTGTTATTGTTGCCATATGAATAATAATAATAATATACAAATTTGCGTTTGTGTAGGTAGTACGAAATACGAATAATTAATCAAATAATGTTGTAAAATAGTGTGTTTTTAATTTTCAGCAAAAAAAAGTTGCCTCGTAGTTAGTGATCCGTAAGTTCCAGTCGAACATAATAATATAGACAGGTAAATATATTTAATTTTTACATTATTTGTTCAGAAAAGTTCATATAACATTTTATCTTTATAATACCTAGTAAAAAAAATATTACGTTCATTTTTTTAGATTCGTTTATTTAGTGTCTGTACAAGTAGTAGGTAGGTACCTACATTTACTTTTATTAAGCAATAAAGATAAACAATAACAAAAAAAACTCTGCAGACTTTACACCAAGCTAATAATTATGTTTGCATATTGTTTGCGATGAATTAAAAAAAATATTAATTACGTTTACTATGCCAAGTCATGAACATTGTAAACGGTACCTAAGCTGTGTAAAATAATTTTGTTTACTATTTTTGTAGGCATTATATCGTTTAAAATAAACAAACTTTTTATGCAAATTCGATACATTGTAATATTCGAGTTTGTAAACAATTATCTAAATGGCTGAAATGATTGTTCGGGGCTACAAACATTATTGTTTGATAATAGTGAAAACAAAAAAAATTAAAAAGTTATTTAATAGTCATTATACCGTCATATTTACCGAGTAAAAATTCGTAATATATCAAAAATTGATTGTGCCGTTTTTTAAATGGTAGGTATACCAATAAATAGCTGCAAAATTGTGTGTTTTATTTTATGGGGCAACTTTCGTTTATAAGTTAGTGCAGATTTATTGCACTTCCATATTATGTATAATTCAATTTGTTCGCATATTAATATCATGCTTATTAATTATTATCGAATGAACAATATAATACGTTTTATAACAAAAACGAAAAAAACACCCTTTCGATATTTCAGTTTTAGATTTTGAGAGAAACAAAGATTTTATACATTTATTTTGTATCTGTAAACAATTTTTTCTACTAGAAAACTTGTTCTAATCTAAAAAATATCAAGGGACCTGTTTTGTTGAATCTTAGATTTTGATTCAATTGATAAGAATTTTGTTGGTGAAAAGTAACCTCTTCAATTTTTTGATTTCACAACGGTTTTTATAGTAATTGAGAAAAAACGGAAAAGTAGAAACGGATAAATTAACGAAGTTAACAATTTCATTCTTTTAAATTGTTAACAATTTTTTTTTCTACTAAAAATATAACTCCCAATTTTCAATAAAAGCATTTTTTCTGAATTAAATGTAGTTTTTTTGTTTTTACGTGTAGTTTTCTTAATAGTTCTTATGTCGAACTAGGTAAAAAGGTAGAAAGAACGGAAATATTTACAAAACTAACGGTTTAATTTTTTCAGATTTGTTTTTGTTGTTATTCAGTAAAACATATATAAAAATACTTATTATTTTTACAGATCACTTTTTTAGTAGATGTGATTAAATTTTTAAAGCATTCTGGTTATTTTGGAGCTAGGTATTTTACATTAACGAAGTTTTTACATTTTTATTTGGTCAGAATTATGTGGATAAAGTTATATGATCAAACAGAAACGTTTAAAATTTATCACAAGGTTTATTAGAAGTTGTGCTTAATGGTTAAAAAGAAAAAGTCGAGCGGTATTTATTAAAGATTATTGTAATCAAATTTTGACGAAAATCGTAAAAATTACAGCATTTTAGACTCCAAAACTGCATTTCTGAAAGTCGCTCAGTATTATATTTTGTTAGTAATTGTTTATCGTTGAATACAGATATAAATAATATTAATACATAATTTTTTGTTATTAATTTGATTTTTTTTTTGATAATTATTAAAATGAAATGTGTCAGGTTAAACAACCAGAGTAGGATTGTAAGTGTTAAAAAAATGACCATGTTTTATGTTTTTTTTTTTTCAAAATATATGAATAAACACCAATATTTACATTTTTAAATGATTACTGATAGTTTAAAATGGAAAATATAAATTAATATCAAAGTAATAATAATATGTACATAATATTATAAATTTTAAAATTGTACGAATTATATGCACCTGTCCAACTTTATTATACCATTTTAACCGAATGATCCAGGGGTCCCGTTTTAACAGGTACCTACTCCTAAATCAAATTTAATCTCGTTAAAATTAAAACATTATGAACTTTAGCTGTTGCGATAAGTGTTATAACGTATTAAAGTTGTATGTGAAATGCAAATAATAAAATAAAATAATCGTTCTCAACGATATTGATACCTATTGTAATAATAACGACAGTATGATATAAATAGTCATTCGATAAAATTAAATACAGAAGTATATTTATACAGGCTGTCTCACGAAAATATACCCCTTGAATATTTCCGGAGACAATAAAGATAATCAAATTGTGTTTTTTTTTTTTTTTTAAATTATTCACAGGGATGATAACTACAATTACTTATATTTGAATTGAATTTTATTTTTTTAGTAATTTAACCTAATCATGTTACGCGATAAAGTCGGTTTTCATACGGATTAGTAGAATTAAAAACGGCCGTTACATAGAAACTATTCATCGGATACAAATGTGTGATACATTCAAATTTTCAGAAAAATAAACTCTACAGAATTACTATCTTACAATTTACCGAAACTAATAAAATAAAGTTATTTTTAAATTTTTTTACTAAGAAAAAAAAAGTAATTCAAATATAAATATTTGTAGCCTTCATTCCTGTGAGTGATATAAAAAATAACAGAATTTGATTATATTTATTATCTTCGGAGATATTCAATGGCTATATCTTCGTGGGACAGCCTGTATAAAAAAAAAAGACCATTTCCATGTATAAAGATTGTCTTGAATATTTAACGATAGGTGGCCTTCTGAGTTCCGGTTATTTTTTGATTCTATGTAAAACGTAAAACTAATACATATATTATAATGTAACGTTTTATCGTGTTTGAATTAATTTAATACATTTAAACATATTTGCACTTCCTGTAATATTAGTGGATATGCAACTTTTAAAAATAATCGATTCATTTTTTTCTTTTCAAAGACCATAAATATCGCTTTGAAATGTATGATATTTTACAATACTCGTATATATCGTGTTTATAAACGAGTGTTATTCCACGTTGTATTAATTATTTTATTTCATACGAATCGATTTTTTTTTTGTGTTAAATACTTAGTGTTATATTGTCGTCTCATATCGCAATGACAATATTATTAATTAATAAAATCAATCGAAAATTATAGCAGTCATTTTTTTATCCCAATATTAATTACCGCGACTATTCGGGAGTAGGTCTATAAGTGAAATTAGATACTAAAATCTATTGAAATGCTAGGATGTGTTTCCTCGAGTATAATTCTATATTCACAATCACATCATGCGTTATTCATAGAACTGTTGGTCGTTGTATGAATAACGCCATATTAGTTTTTACTACATTTCAGCAATCTAAAAGTAAACTAATTTTATAGGTAGGCACCTGGCTAATTAGTATGATTTCATGATATGTAATAATAGGTACATTATAATCGTATAATAACGTACGCCATTATTTTTACTGAACCAAATCTGTTCTTCTTAAATAAAATAATCAACCATTTAAACATTTATGAAAATAAATTGGTCCATTTTAATTGTGTACATATAATACTAATCTACCGATTGCCATAAAGTGAAAATTTGCAACACGCACATTTACTTTTCTGAAACAGATCAAGGATTAGTACCCGTGTTCATTATTTTTTTGCCTTATTTATTGTTTAATGCAAAATAATTACAACTTATGTAAATGTTAAATAATTTATTTTGATATTTTGATCCAAATATTTGATTTATTATCCAAGCAAACGCAATAGTGATTATAATATTACATTAGTGCGCTAGACACTAGTTGTTTTCGTGGTCACACGTTCATCGCGTACGTTACTATAGTACAATATTATCGTAGTCATTGTTCGATTGCACGTGTATGATCATTGATCACTGTTTTAGTCACCGTTATAATGTACGTATTATTACCAGTTAGTAAAGACAATAAAAAACAGCAAAGAAAAACACGCCATCTGCTTAGATAATCGCTGGTCCGTAGATAAAAGAATCGTAACTCCTATTTGATCGTAAATTTGGCAATTATATAGGTACTATTGTATAGTATATATAATATATAATTTTACTGTGCCAAACGCATTTTTTTTTTTTTTTTAATCGTTCTTTTGGTTAACATTTTCTTGGAATATTTAAAGTCTGTTCAATTTTACAATTTTTTTTGAAATAAGGTTCGTACTAAGACGTTTGATATCTGAAAACAACGGCAATACAACCGGCAAAAGCTATTTAAACCATGCGAGTACTAGGTACATCCCATGAACAATTCAGTTGTAGTGGTTCGTGCTATATTCAATAACTACGAATTTTGTTATCAATCTAATAATCACATATTTGATAAAACTTGCAGACATTGAATGGGAATGATTGTAAAATATTTGAAATTTGACTGTGTACCTACGTCAAATATTTGACAGTGTAAACCCGACTGAACCCTATTAGGTATATTACTGCTAGGATTTTCATCAGCCTAAATTCGTACGAAGCCGATCAAATTTACATAAATTTAATCATAAAAAAGTATGATTTTGCGCGGCTCACTGAGATTTTCTCGGTAGCTCACCGGTTCCATCCAGGCCTGAAAATACAAAAATAACGAGTGTTCAATATTATGATGAACAGAACGACTGCCAGTAGACTGATAAACACATCTACGGTCGTATTTGCGGATTTTATAGTTTATATTTTGTTTTTATATACCTACCTATATAGAAACATAAAACCAAATTACCCGTAAACATACCGGAGTTATTATACGGATGACAAAATCCTACCGAT